GCCATTTTGGGAAGAAGCTGTCAAGACCGCATGTTATCTGATCAACCGATCACCTTCAGTTCCATTAAATTTTGAAGTTCCAGAGAAAATATAGACTGGTAAGGATCCGACATACTTACATCTCAGAGTATTTGGTTGTGTAGCATATGCACATGTATCCAAAGAGCTCAGGAAGAAGCTCGATGCGAGGTCCATCCCATGCATTTTCATTGGTTATGGAGATGAAGAGTTTGGATACAGATTTTGGGATCCAAAGGAGAAAAAGGTGATCAGAAGTAGGGACGTTGTGTTCCAAGAAAGTTTGACAATAGAAGATATCGAAAAGCCCAAGATGTCTCAGAAGTCAAATGTGGGTGCTCAAGTTTCAGATGAAGCACCAGAATTGATCCGGAGAAACAATGAAGATGATGTACCAGAAGAAGATGAGGAGACAGAAGAGAGTGCAGAGCAAGGGGAGCAACAACCCACCTCGCCAGAGCAAGGGGAGCCACAACCCATTTTGCCAGACACCAATGTTAGAAGTTCTTCTCAGATGGTTCTACCTACTCGTAGATCTGAACGAGGCCATATACCATCAAAAAGGTACTCATCATCTGAATACCTTCTATTGACAGAAGATGGAGAACCAGAGAGTTTTCAAGAAGCCGTATCTCATAAGGATAAAGAAAAATGGATGGCTGCGATGCAGGAAGAGTTAGATTCTCTGCAGAAAAATCAAACTTATGAGATTGTTAAACTTCCAGAAGGGAAAAAGGCTTTGAAAAACAAATGGGTGTTCAAGCTGAAGAAAGATGCAAATGGACAAGTGGTGAAACACAGAGCTCGATTGGTAGTCAAAGGCTTTCAACAGAAGAAAGGGATTGATTTTGACGAGATCTTTGCACCAGTTGTCAAGATGACCTCAATTCGAGTCATACTTGGTTTGGCAGCAAGTATGAATTTGGAGCTTGAACAGATGGATGTGAAGACAGCTTTTCTTCACGGAGATTTGAATGAAGAAATCTATATGCAGCAGCCAGAAGGTTTTGAGGTTTCAAGTGAGAACCTCGTGTGCAAGCTATCTAAAAGCTTGTATGGTCTAAAGCAAGCTCCAAGGCAGTGGAATAAGAAGTTTGACTCGTACATGAAGAGTCAAGGTTACAAGAAGACTACTGCAGATGAGTGTGTTTACATCTAGAGATACTCAAACGGGGCTTTCATAGTTCTTCTACTGTACGTCGACGACATGTTGATCGTCGGGAATGATGCAGAGAAGATAAGTCAGCTGAAGAAGTTCTTCTAAGTCTTTTGATATGAAAGATTTAGAAAAGGCTCAACAGATTCTTGGGATGCAGATTACTCGAGACCGAGAGAACGGCAAGTTATGGCTATCTCAAGAAAAGTACATTGAACGAATACTTGAAAGATTCAATATGAGTGATGCCAAACCAGTGGGTATTCCACTTGCGAATCATTTCAAGTTGAGCAAGAGATCATGTCCCATATCCAAAGAAGAAATAGGGGAAATGTCCGCAGTGCCATACTCTTCAGCAGTTGGAAGTCTGATGTATGCAATGGTGTGTACAAGGCCAGATATTGCTCATGCAGTGGGTGTAGTGAGTCGTTTTCTTTCTAACCCCGGGAAGGAGCATTGGGAGGCTATCAAATGGATTCTCAGATACTTGAAGGGTACTTCTAAGTTATGTATTTGTTATGGGGGAACTGATCCAGTCTTGGAAGGATATACTGATGCTGATATGTCCGGAAATATCGATTGTCGAAAGTCTACTTCAGGCTATGTCTACACTTTTGCAGGGGGAGCAATTTCTTGGCAATCAAGGTTGCAGAAGTGTGTTGCTTTATCCACAACAGAAGCTGAATATATTGCTGCCGCTGAAGCTGGTAAAGAAATGTTGTGGCTAAAGCGCTATCTCCAAGAACTTGGGATTAAGCAGAAAGAGTACAAGGTATATTGTGATAGTCAAAGTGCTATTGTCTTAAGCAAGAACTCTATGTACCATGCCCGCACAAAGCATATTGATGTTCGGTATCACTGGATACGCGAGAAGATTGATCAACAGCTGTTGAAACTAGTGAAGATCAATACGAAGGAGAATCCATCAGATATGTTAACAAAAGTGGTTACACGGGATAAGCTTAAACTATGCAGAGACATAGTAGGAATGCTTGTTCAGAACTTGCATGGAAAGGGGAGAATTGAAGGTTCCATGCATGTATGAAGGAGTCATCAATGGTGTGCTATACACCCTTCACCAACCTTCCTCCACCAAACCTTCAAGCACACCAATGAAGAATCAACAATGGTGTCATCCACCAACCTCTTCTATTTCACACCATTTTTGTCAAATGTGGTGTGCCTTCTTGTATCTATAAATAGAGTGCTCATTTCATCATTTCAAATCATCCTTGAGAGTGATCAATCAACCTAGAGAGTGTTGAAACACAACCAAGAAATAGTTGTGGAGTGTTTGAGAGTTTTTTGTTTAGAGTTTGTAAATCTCTTGTTTTTATTCTTGTGAGTAATAGAAACTTGTTTTTCTCTCAAATTATGTTTATGATCTTAGGATGATACCACAACATCAAAACCACTTGAATATTACACTTCCTTTCTGGACTACACATTTCGTTTATTTATTCTTATACTGTTACATTTTATGTTAGTATTCCACTTTAAAGCTCTTACTAGATAAGTTTTTGTTGAGAACTGAACTGTCGTGTATTTCATTTGTTGTGTATTTCACTGTTGATCGTTGGGATTAAAAAAAAAAAAAAAAAATATTGTGTTATGCTTAGGCCTATTTTTATCTGTACTACAGTACTCGTAATGGAATTGATACGTATTAGTTTCCGTGCGTGATCTTTGTTGTCAATCTCTCGTCATGAGAATGTTTTTTTCGGTTGTTTGCAGGGTTCCAGCTGCACCTTTGGATCGCAAAGGTGCGAAAAGGCAATTCAAACCCGAAAAATCTGTAAGTATTCCTTGGGAGGCATTTCTAGAGAGCATGAAGCTTTCTTAGGAGATATCATAAAAAGGGATACAAGTTTATTATTCCTTAATTATGTCTACGTAGATTTATGTGAATAGAGTTGACATTGATATATTTCGTGATCTTGTTTGCCTTACTAAAACGTATAGCGCGAATTTTACTTTTCATTTTTACCATCAACCAATTGATCTGCAATATATATTAAATAGTTTTGTTATAGAGCCATCGGATGATTCGGCTTATGGAGTAATCCACAGTTATTCACAAATAGTATATTGACACGTGTCCTATAATAAATGCACTTTGGACAAGTGTCAATATACTAAATCATGGATGACTCTATATGAAAACCATCCAATGACTCCATAGAATTTTTGATATATTCAGAGTTTTGCACTATTAAGAGTTTGGTGACACGTAATGTTCAAATAATAAAATGTCGACAGTTAGTGCTCAATATAGAGTTCATGAATACATATCATAATTATTTCAAATATCAAAATAAAATAAACTATCCAAAACTAATATCTAATGGTAAATCATGTTTTACTTTGTTAGTTTGTGTTATACTGAAATGCACAATAGAACATGTGAATATGCACATTATGCCACTATCTAAATATTTTAAAAACACACATAATTATAAAAATGCTATCTATCTATCTATCTAAATATTTAAAAAGGAAACATAATTATAAAGATACTACAGGGGTTTTACTTAAAATTTGACCAGTTTGCAAGACAGAAAAAGTAATTCAATCAAATTTGAAGGTTATGTTTTATTCTTATTTTTTTCATTATCTTCAATTCTCATATGATCACGTGTGAATATATATATATATATATATATATATATATATAGAGAGAGAGAGAGAGAGAGAGAGAGATTCAAATAAAAACTCGTTTTGGGATGAGCATCATATATACTGCTACTTTTAATTGTATATGATGTTATATTTAATATTACACGATGCTATTATTATTCAATAGGTATTTACATTGTGATGCTATATTTAATAAAATAAATTTAGATTAAAAATACCATCAGATACAATTAATAATAGCACATGCACAATTAAAAATAACAATACTCATAGTTCTCACGTTAAGGATTGGTTCTTATTTGAACCACATCACACACACACACACACACACACACACAAAAGTAGGAACAAATGAGAATAGTGAAAGAAATAAGAATGAATCGTAATCGTTAAATGATATATATCAATGCTCCAGATCTAGTCAAAAGCTCCAGCACGGTCAAAGGGGCGAGAGGAATTAATGTAATTATGAGTACATTTAGTTTTTCACGCGAAGGCATTTTCTTCATTTTGCAAACTAAGTCGGGGTGTTGCTATGCATTTTCGAATGCATTAATGTGCATTTCATCTAGTTAGCATTTTACAGAGCAGTGACATTCTGATAAATTCGTAATCTTCTAAACGTGTAGGCTGTTACAATTCTATAATTTTGTAAAAATACAACGGTATATTTTAATCAGACATAAGATCACATATAGGCGCAAAAGATCACCTTAGATCACTAATGAGACACGCTTCATTTTAGTCAGGAAAAGCCAAGTTTCTTTAGTGGAAAAAGAGATTCAAATTGCATTTTAACTACACGGGTACATATGTACATATTACCATGAACAAAGAAAACGTTGTTTATTTTATGTTCAGTTCTTTCAGACTACTTACATGAGACGTACATAAACAGAAATGTTATGGAGTCATAGGATGGTTCCCTTATGGAGCCATCCATAACTTTATGTATTGACACGTGTCCAATGTATATTTATTGTAAGCACGTGCCAATACACCATTTGTAGATAACTATGGATGGCTCCATAAGCCGAGTCATCCGATGACTCCATAGCAAAACCGTGTACAGAAAACTGCCTTTTTTTTTTTCTTCAAGAAAAACAAACAAATATGCAAAACAGGAACGGAGGAACAAGGGATCTATACTACATTTCAAGCTGCATTCGTCTTGTTTCCCTTTTATAAATCACTTGTTTATTATCTTGGGTCCGTTGTAAGGAACCCCAATCACGCATAAGTCTTCGGGTTTGTCTCTCTCCTTGAGCCAAGCACACCCATTAGGATCTTCATCATCGAGCAACAGCCCTTCAACTAAAAATACCAACAATTAAATAACATAATAAAAATAAAATAATATTACTATGAAGAATCTTTTAGAAAATTGTTGCAATGCTAATACAAGTTAGCAAATTATCATATTCATGTCTTATTTCATTGTATTTAATTTATATCCCATTCCATCCAAGGCTTACTATGTTCCACAAAATCAAATTACAATTGAGATTTAGTGCGTAAAAGAATGTGACTTTAGAATCGATGATAAAAATATACCTGGGAATTTGGAGAAAGGGTAGTCAAAGTAATACTGGCAATGGCGACCATCAGGATCGCAGTATGGAGGGCCAAGCACATCTAAAACGGCACATGCCGTCTTGGCCGTAAAGCAGTGCATGTTGCCGCCATCAGCTGGATAAAGAATTGAAGTCCGACAAGGTGCAGTGAAGTCCGAGTTCACCTTCAGCTTCGCCATGCGTAATCCATCTGATCCGCCTAAAAATAAAGCCAAATATCGTATTTATACCCAAAATAAAATTGTGAACTCTCAATTTAAAGCATTTTGGACCGTCTATTAACCTCTGTAACCGTTGAAAGCTTTTGATGTAAAGAAAGTCTTTGGTTACACAAGAACATACTCATTAGTGCGCTAGTATTGACAGAGGCGCCATTAAACCAGTCATAAGCCTTGATATGCATTGTTCCAAATAGAAGCTTGCCGAAAACTGTCATTCCAGGATGATTATGAAGTGGAATGACACTTGTTGGGGGCAAACAGAAGATTCCAATCTACAATAATTTTCAAATAAATATTCTGTACACTGAAAATGGTCATAAACAATTAGTAGGTACTTAGAATTGGGGAGATTCTTCGATCATAAATAATTAAAAAGTCTACCCAATATTACTTTTTTTTTTCTCAAAGATGTATGTATGAGGGATATCTCCAATCTTAAAAGATAGCTGTTAGATCTTTCTGGTATTAGATTAAACAACATGCAATGTGCTTTTTCCTTCTCTTCATTTTTGTGATTAATCTTGCGACTAGTGATATTTCTTACCGAGAATTGGTCACACTCGTGGAGGTGCAGATATGATATGGTCGGAGCTCGTTCGCTGCTGAAAAAAGGCATGTTTGGACTCAGACCCACGTCCTCTTGAGTCATACCATCTGCATTCATTACATGAATCGGTTATAGTTTTTTTTTTTCGAAACGATAGAGATAGTATATAAAAGTGCACAAATGTGCAATAGAAGAGCCACAAGCTGAATACAAACAGCCAACAGCTGAATACAAACAACCAAAAACAACCAACAACTGAACAAAAAACACAAGGACACTAAAAAAACTGACCCCAACAAAATATTTAGTTCAAAAGAATATCATTTATTAAACGAAATTAGTGTAAGTAAATGAAAAACTTTATCTTCATGGGGTAAACGAAAATGATAAGCAAGATTTCTTGGTTGGAGCTTGGAAGCATGGAGTATCCTTTTATTAACAAACGAGTTCGAGGAAGTACGCGAGACTACAATTCTTTCCTTTGTCCGCCGGAATTTTGAATAGTTTATCTCCATAAAATATTGGCAGAATGCATAAAGATGCTCCAAAAGAAGCCTATAGTTTGAATTCGTTTTTATTATTTGTGATCTTAATATTTTTATTTTTCCATATATTTATTGATTTATTTATACTTTTGGAAATGGCCTTTTATCTTGCATTATGGAGGTATTCATCCATTATCTGACAACATTATCCCACATAATCTTTCTTCTTGTTCCCTTGCCTTTTTTAAGAATATCTGAATACAAATTCCGAGACTTTTTAAGATTATCGTCAAATTCCAAGGCACAGCATTTCAAATTAGAAGAAAAGAATACACTAGAAGAATGTAATGAAATTAAAATGAAAAATTCCAACGGGAATATATTACAACAGAATTCAAAAGGGAAATTCCGATGTTGTTATTTCTATTGGAATTTTCCAATGGATTGCAACGGACATTCGAACAAAAATATATTCCGTTGTAATGAGTTTTCCATTGAAATTTCCACTGAATTTTGACGATTCCAACAGTACATTTTCCAACGGTTGAAATATAGGTGAAAATAAAAATTCTAACAGAAATTCCTACGATAAAAAACCGTTGGAATAATGGCTGTTGGAATGATAAAATTCTATCTAAATTCCAACGGAATAATTCTGTTGGAATTTTTCGTTGAAATTATTCAAACAGAAGCATACCATTAGAATATCCGTTGGAATTTCTATTGAAATTTCTATTGGAATATATATCGTAGGATTTTCCACGAGAATGTGACATTTTCTTTTTTTTTTTTGTAGTGATAAGACAAAAAAATATGAACTTATGATCACATATAGTACAGTAAGAATTGCCGATTCATATCACAATATTATTAAAGCAGAAATTGAACTGGAATGAACGCTTCGTCCACAACAATTCTGTCCATATTCACAAAAAAACAACCAGCATGCATGCAAGGGTTGTACCTTGTGCTACAACATTGGCACGTTGCTCTAGAATTGACTCAAATGTAAGACCAAAGAAAACAGCTTCAATTTCCTTTAACTAATACACACACACATATATATACATTAATTATTGTAAATTCAATATTCTCTCCGTTTCAAATTATATGTCTAAATACATAGTAAAATTGATAAATAAAAAAAGTCAAAACGAACTTATAATTTGAAACGGAGGGAGTACATTACCATCATCAATTTCAAAAGATTTTAACATAAAATCAAGTTGAGCCAAATTTGCAGACTTATCTCACAGTTATTAGTTTTGTGGTGACATCTAATGATTAATTTGGAGTAAAGAAAAACAAAAACATATAAAAATTCATACCCAAAACAGCAGCAAGTTTTTGAACCTTTTCGGGCGAAGGGATAATTCCCGGTCCAGAATCGGCAAACACTTCTTTACAGGTATCGTAGAGCCTCTGAACCGGAGACCACTTCTTCTGCTTCCTCTTGCTTTTCTTCGATTCATTGCTCGACTTCGACCCACTAATCCTCATTTGCTTCACCAAATTCCGATGG